TTTGATGGGTGGAGAAGGAAACGAAACAGATTACCAATTTTGCTTTTCGTTTGTGTGATTCTATGGATTTACGGTTTCTGCAAAATCTCTGGGAAAGAGATAAAGAGTGATAAGGTTTTAGGGGTTTGCTTATTTGGTCTGGCTATGGTCAAAGATTTGAAGAGAGAGGCTAGATATTTCTTCATTGGATTTCTCTGTTTCATTGCTTCAATGGTTTTTGGATTCAAGAAAGAGAGTTTTGTGAAATTGACTTCGGGAATTAGGTCTTATTCTTCAGTTCTTCTTTGTAAAAGGAAAAGTCGTAGAAGAGTTTAATGAGCAGGGAAGAATTAGGAGATTGTTTCTAATCACTTCAATATTTTTGTGACGAATCTTAAGCTCAGCTTTTTTTGTTTCAAAAACCGTTTTGGAAATTTGCTCGACAATGGTGAATCTGAAGCATTCTCATGTCTTAATTAATGGCCATGGCTTGACTTGTGATGTTTATGAATAAAAGATCTATCTGAGTGGTGCCATCGAGGAGTAATGAATGGTACGAGGCTAGTCAAAGAGTCGATGAAGAAAAAAAGAATAATCTCATAACCATACTTCATTCCAAGAAAACGATGTTCTTAACTTAATGCCAGTTAAACATGTTCCCAGTAAACATATCAGTAATTGACACATAACTCTCTTCTTTCCTAGTTTAAGGGATCTTTTTTGTTAACCCTAGATGATGCAGGAGGCTCTTCATCATCATCTGTATGCATTGGGTAAACGATAACCAGACATAACTATTTTGTCAGCAAACATCTTGCCAGTCTTGGGCATGACATGCCAGTGCAATGTCAAGTTGAAGTTTTTCCCTCTGAGGTTGTGTCCCTAGAATGATCACATTGACCACAATCAGATACCCTCTGTCAAGACGAATGATACGCAAACACAAAGTATTTTAGGGAAAATGTTTTTTCATGTACCTGGTCTATGAAACGGTACTTGTTTGAGATTTGTATCCAGAATTTGGCATGCTCTTTCTTGGGTATTATGGCATCCCAAAGAGAAACCTGCGAAAAATGGCAATTATTTATGGTATATCAACCAAAAGGTACCGATCTGATCATGCAGCAACACTAAAACCACGTAACCCTGAACTTATTCTTAGCCCCTACAAAGCAGTAGTAGGCTATAAAGCTTTTGAAGCAATCTGGATTTATACCTGATTCAGAGAATTCTTCGAGGTTTCATACTCTGCTGCTACAAAAGCAAATACCTGCAAATGTTTTCGTTTGTGTTGGTTTTATGTTCACCGGTGCCATAAAAAAAGAGGTACCCAACAAGACAGTATAACATTGGGAAGATTTTAGGAAACAGAAAAGAGATGCAATGATGTACATTCGCATGCCGCTATACCTGCTTTGTGTTCCAAGTAAATAGTGACTGCAAGTCTGCTGTTATGTTCAGTGTCAAGCTGACCTAAAAACATAAAATGCTAAACAATTAGTATATGTGTGGCCAGGTAAAGGGAAGCCTGAAGACTCAATAAAGAAGAAACTACTTATTAACTTCGACGATTTGAGTTCAGTATGACTTTCAAGAGTAGGCCAATGTGAAATCTTTATATTTTACAACAATGTTCAAAGAAACAGTCACATCTGAATCCATATGGTCGTCATCAAATTCAAGAAACACAACAAATACTAAACTTAAGATGACTTCCAATAAAAATCTCATACTAAAAAGTGCAAAGTTAAGAGGAAAAACGCCAAAATTTCTCATTTCCTGCTTCTCCAAACAAGGCGATTTAGGGTGTTTTCTGTCGTCTTGCAAAACTAAATACTGGTATCAATACGAAACATATTCCCAATAATTCAGAATATGTGAACTTAAATTTCCCAATGGATACGTTCTAGATAGCCAAGACACTGAGACAGGAACTGATAAAGAGTAACTAGATAAACATAACTCAGACCTGCGAGTACACTCAAACACAAATTGGGTGCTCGTGCTCAAACCAAGCAATCAAAAATCATAGTTACGAAAAACCCTTAAGAGGAGAGGCAAGACCATGAAACCTTACCTCATCATTTCCATGGGGTTGCTTCTGAAACCAATTGATGTTTAATATCTGCAAACCACAATACAACCATTAAACCCAAAATAAAAGTTGAGGCTCAAACAATTCTTAGAACCCAGAAAATTCCTTAAATTTCCCAAAAGAAAGCTCAAAATAAAGCATGCAGACAATAGATCCAGGAAAAACTAAGAGATCTCTGCATTTAAGCAAACGCGTACCTGGATCTGAGCAGAGGGAGTTTGGTTACTGAAGTTGTCGGAGAAGGAAGCAATCGCGCAAATAAACGCAAGAATCGTGACGGCGAATGTGAGCAGAGCATTCGCTCTGTAACCAAAAGAGTGCATCCTCACTCGTCTATGGCTTCTCGTTCGCCGGAGTTGGTCTCAATCAACACGGAGGAAGAAGAATAAGAACGTTCTTCTTTTCTCCTTTAATATTTATGTGTTTCCTTTCGACGAAGTAATGTGATTGGCCAAGACACGTATGACCAATGTATGATGTAAAACCGAACCGGTATAGGTGGGAAAAAAACCCGAACCCGAGAACCGAATCCAAAAAACCCGATTTCTAAGGACAAGACTTTTGAGTTCATTTTTTTGTTTTTTTTTTGTCGACTTTTGAGTTCATTCTTTAAAAGTAAAACAATTCTCAAAAATACCAGAATTTTTCAAAAATACCATTATTTAGTAATTTTTCCAAAAAAACTACAAAACTAAAATTAACTTTAAATATTCGAAATTCAACCCTAAAACCAAACTCTAAACCTCAACCCTAAAAACTATAATCTAATCTACGATAGTTTGTTTTTCAAACAAAAAAAAATCTACGATAGTTTACTCAAACCCAAAAAATTTAAACTATAAAATCTTGAAAATCAATTTTTTGTTTGTGGTATTTGTAAAACATTTGAAAAATAGTGATGTTTATAGACATTTGAAAAATGGTGATACTTTTGGAAAATTTTCAAAGTGTGATATCCAAAGAATTCATCTTTTTTTTTTTCAACTCGAAGAATTCGTCTTAAAAAAAAAGACTTTCATGATTTATACTTTAAGCGAAAGATCAGT